CATGGCAACATCTAATGTTTGTGTAGTATTATGTTCAGCAGACTGTGTTCTTCTATTGTTGTGACTTAGATGACGTTCAGAGCACATTTTATGACCAATTCATGCAAAACTCCACGTAATCCCAAGGGGTTCACATACTTTTTCTTGCAACTGTATATACACACACACACACACACTGGCCACTTTATTAGGTACACCTGTTGAACTGCTTGGTAACACAAATTGCTAATCAGCCATTCACATGGCAGCAACTCAATGCATTTAGGCATCCAGACGTGGTGAAAATGACTTGCTGAAGTTCAAACAGCATCAGAATGGGGAAAAGAGGGGATTAAAGTGACTCTGAATGTGGCATGGTTGTTGGTGCCAGACGGGCTGGTCTGAGTATTTCAAAAAACTGTTGATCTACTGGGATTTTCATGCACAACCATCTCTAGGGAAATCGAGACTCATAAGATCAGGCAAGGTTTTTCCAATCTTCTATTGTCTAATTTTGGTGAGCCTGTGTGAACTGTAGCCTCTGTTTCCTGTTCTTAGCTGACAGGAGTGGCACCCAGTATGATCTTCTGCTGCTGTAGCCCATTTGCTTCAAGGTTCAACGTTTTGTGCCTTCAGAGATGGCATTCTGTATATCATGGTTGCAACGAGTGGTTATTTGAATTACTGCTGCATATCATCTCGAACCAGTCTGCCCATTCTTTTTTTCCACCCTCCCTTTTATCCCCTCTCTCCCCATCCCCTCCCCCCTCCCTTAAAAAACCTATGGCTCTTTTGTAGCCTTTGGATCTGTTGTGGGATATTTTCCATCCTTGATCCCTCTATATGGGTTAAGGCTCTGTTTATGTACGCCTTCCTCCACCCCCTCCCGACCCTTTGGGGTGTGTATCTGGAAGTGTATTGGCCTCCATTTATCCCACCTATGCTATGCTTTTCAAACATCAACCTCCATCTCTCTATCCTCTTCCCCCTCCTCCCCCTCCAATCCCCCAAGTCTCCGGCCACCCCATATTGCATATGGGTAGAGGTACGTAGGAGAAAGAGGGGTATAGGCGAGAGCGAGGAGGCAAACCAGGAGACCAGATTGAGGGGAGGAGTAAGCATGAGAGAGAGGGAAAAAAAGAAAAAGGAGACCCACAATCTAACTTTTCAATTAAATTCCCATTCAACTCCCTCTATTAGTCTGTATAGTCTCCCGAGCATGTTATCTTCTTCCATTCTTTGAATCCCTATTACCGTCTCTCTTGTTGGGAAATTAATAACCACCTCTCTTCTTCCATTCCCCTCTTTTCCTTTATCTCATCAGTCCATCTTGGGATATCTGATATTTGCAAGTCTAATCTTTCACAAACGTCCTGGAGTTCTGGGAACCTCAATCTAGCTGAGCAACCATCTTTCCATCCTATTAAGCATGCTGGGAAACTCCACTCCACCTATATTGTATATATTTTTTTCTGCATCTGTTCCAATATCGGTCTCAAAGTTCTCTTTCTTGCTAACGTTTCAGGTGCTATATCTGCATAAATCCTTTCATTTTCTCCCAAATATTTATTTTATCTTCATAATAGTGGAATCTCAGGTGTTTCTATGGACACTTCTTAGGGTCTTCTTATGATGTGAACTCTATCAATTTTTAATTGCTCTGTTGTAGGTCTATCTAATGTTAAATTTAATAATTTATTCATTACAGTTGTTAAATCTCCTCCTTGGGATATCTCCAGTAACCCCCAGATCCTCAAATTGTTTCTTTTGTTTTCATTTTCCTGGTCTTCTATCTTATATAGCAATTTCCTCTGTTCACTTTGTATTTCTTCCATTTGCCCCCTTTTCTCAGATATTACTTGTGCATGTTTGTCTAATTTTTCTTCCGCTTCTTCCACTCGAGACAAAACCTGTCCTAAGTCCTTATGCAGAACTGCCATCTCATTCTTTATTGAGAGTTCTATCTTTGCAAACATATCTGCCATTGTAGGTATTTGTGAGCTTCCCGTTAGTTCTTTACTGTTTCTTTTAACCTCTACGCATGCTATGTTTAATCCTTCTATACTTCGGTTCAGGTCTGTTGTTTCTAGTGACAGTCTAGATTGATCTCCAGTATTGTTTTCTGTATCCTGTTTTCCATTAATTTCCCATTGCCCCTTTGGGAATAACCTTCCTGGGCTTTTCTCCTGCATGGGCATGTATTTTTTGATTGTACCTATGCTTGTTTTAGTTTTCTATGCCCCTACCCCTTTCGCCGACCTGCTCTTCATTGTTGTTTTTCTCTTTTCCCCTTTTCCTCTTCACTTCTTTTAGCGACTTTAAGTGGGTTTTTGATCTTCTATAATTTTCATTAAGGATTTACGCAGCTAAATAGCTGTATTTGCAGCAATCAATGGGTATAAAAGTACAGACATATATATAGCTTCTGCCTGCAATATCATCCCCACAAGCACCCTGTATTATTTTGCTTCTCGTTTTCCCTCTCAGAAACTTAGAATTTAATGCATTTCAAATATCCACATTCCTTCATATTTATCCTTTCCTTTCCCTCCGTCCTCCGACTCCATCCCCTCAGATACTCCTGTTTGTAGTTCGATGGATGGATACCCCGTGTCACATCGCACTCTATACCTCAAAGCACTGCTTCCACCAGCCACTTTATTTTCTTGGTAAAAAACATAAACGCTACTCTCAGAACTTAAAGTGTTACTTGTAGCAATATTTAATTGTTATTTAATTGTGGGCACTCCACCATTCTTCACCATGTTATTGTCCAGCTTTTTTTTGTTTCTTCAGCCCACTCAACTTCACAGTGGCCGCATGAAGTATCTCTAAAGCAGCTTTGGAGTGATCAGGGGTATTATCCTTCAAGCTCTCTTCCTTCCTCTCTCTGCTCCAATGTTCCTCTCAGGGGGATCGGTTTGATAGCTCTCATGGGGTCTCCCATGGCATCCTGTTCAAGAGGGGCTGGTTTCCTCCATGAAGACCCTCCCGTACTCAGTCCGTCTCAGCAGCCCCAGTATCCTCAGCGTGCCAGTCTTGGCTCTGCCCCACTCTTTCCGCTTCTACTGAGTGACTCTCAGCCACCTCCATCGACAACTAGGCAGCCAGGCAAAGCCGCCGGCTTGCCGCTTCCTCAGCTACCGCCGCTTCTGCACCAGGCTCCGCCTCCACTCTGCTCCACCAAGCAGTCTCCACTGTTCAGCCATAGAGGCCCCAGCAAGCCCTAACCTCTACAACACAGCTCCCCGGCTCAGACAGCACCAAACATGAGGTATTCCTCTAGCTCGCCAGCATCTTCTAGCGGTTGCTGGAGCTCCTAGCACACACCGCCGGCCAGCGCCATATTCAGGCCCCTCCTCCGAAATGAAAAATTGGTATGGAGGAGTTTTCTTTCTGCTCTAGGAGGATGGTAAACCCCTGACCCTCTCTCTGGACAGTTCTGATTGGCCCTCTGCTGATCACATGCACTCTCCCAAGAAAGAAAAAAACCTCTCTAGCAATACATATTAAACTGAGCATGTGCAGAAGGGCTAGGGTCAGTCTTATCAGTGTGGACATTTGAATAAGAGGAGGGGCAGAGAAGACAGGATCAAACAAACTTTTTACACAATGCAGAGGATTAACCCCTTAGGTTCCACAGTGAGTATAACAAGCATGCCTTACTGCATATACAGACTGATTTTTATTGTGGTGGGTTTAGTAACACTTTAAATTCCCTTTCTTCCCCATTCTGATGCTCGGTTTGAACTTCAGTTGCTAGCAATTTGTGTTACCAAGCAATTGAACAGGTGTACCTAATAAAGAGGCCGATGAGTGTATGTTAGACATATACTGTACATTAGAGTAGAATGTATCCAGATTGACAGGTCCTGTCAGACCCTCAAGCCTACATCAGCAGTCAATCACCTAGCTAGGACCACCCTGTCAGGCATTCCTGCTCGAGACGTGAGCAGATGGGAGCTGCATAGAACAGAGCTTAGTGTGTGTAAGCATAGCTTTTTGGGAGAGGGAATAGGAGCATGCACTTAGTAGTGGTGACCCTGTTGAGGCTAGATGTGCTGGAAGAGTGTTGCCACCAGCAGCAAGGAAGCGAAGCAAATTGGCAGTACAGCCAGTGGCGTATTTAGGTTTTTTGCTGCCCTAGGCAACACAAAAAACATCTGCCCCCACGGACACCGACCAACACCCCCCCCTTCCCCCTCCGCAGAGAGAGCCTGACATTGACCAACAACACTCTTGCCCCCCACCTGTGAGAGCCTTCCATTATCCCCCTTCCCCAGCAATAGAAAGAAAGACACCCATCTTCACAGCTCCAAACATCCCTGGGAATGAGAGTCAGGCTATACATCAAGCAACCCGCAGCCTCTCTCGAATCCCACCTGGTTGCCATGGCGCGTGTCCCTTTTTCCATCCCTTCTTCTGAGGGGAGGTGCTGCTCCCCCTGAAAAATGTCGCCCTAGGCAAGTGCCTTGTTTGCCTTGTGGTAAATACACCCCTGAGTACAGCTGGACATTTTTGCAACACAAACAGCACACAGAGGTATTCATGAACATAGAGAGCATTTAATGCAAAAAATAATTTATGGGTTTACTGACACTAAAAATCTTAAACTTCACTTACTGTATTTACATGGAAGAGTCTCAATAAAAAGACGTACAGTTAATGGGCTCATATAAAACTAAATGACCAGAGTACTACGGACATATATTTTTTAATTTTTTTGTTGTACATCAAAGTGTAACAGTTGGAGTAAAATTTCTCCATTCAGTTTGGCCTTGAGAATGCTTTAAGCATTTAATATATAGAATAGTTTTTTTTTTTTTTGCAATTACATTTTTTTCATTTACCAACATTTCCAATAATTTTCTCATTATCCTATAATATTTGTATTCTTTATACTATATATTGTGATACAGAATCCATTTTTGTTGAACAGAATGTGGGCTCATGCAATGTTAGGGTAAAATTTTGCAGAAATATTCATAAAAACATATTTTCTATAAAATCATTATACATACCTGTGTGACCCAAGGAGAGTAGGCCAACTGCCAGAAGCAGCATTAGGGCTTTCTCCATGGCTGTCTCTGCAAAGGATAAAAAAAATAGATATCTGCATTACATGTACATTTCAGGATCTTGCATTCTGTTACCAAGGATATATTTTACACTGGTTACTAGGTATGTCTTATTTTTATCTTACACATCTAGTAATTACCATTTCCCATATCAGACAGTGACTACAATCTCAAGCTACAAACTAGATAAAAAGAACTTTTAGTGTCCATTGATTTATTCTTAGCACTGCACATGCATAGGTGTGAACTGACCCATGTAGGATCCCATTAAAAAGACACTGCCACCTGGTCTGTACAGGACAAGGTGACAATGGGTTTGATTTACTAAAACAGGAAATTACAAAATCTGGTGCAGCTTCTAACAAGCATCGAACTTTAGCTTGTCCAATTAAGCTTTCACAATAAAACCTGGAAGCTGATTGGTTTCTAAGCAGATCTGCACCATCCATGGACGCCATATGCTCATCTTACCTGCTCTGCCTTGCAGCTCCTTGCTCTTTTGCAGCCAACACTGAGATCAGCTAATCAAAAACTTAAAGGAGCTATGATGTCACTCCCCCAGTCATGACACAGTGAATAACCAGCCACAATCACACTAAAGCAGGTCACATGTTTTTTCATACCCGGAAGTGCCTGGTAGTATCACCTACTGGCAGAGGAGCAAGGATTTGTGTAGGAGCAAATGTAAAGCGAGTTTAACGGGGTCAAGGGATGCCTATTTCATAGACACTGCCACTTTTCCCTGCATGGGCAAAACACACAGTAGTGTTTAGGACCAGCCACTTAATGAAGAATGGGATTTCTATTTGAATTTATACTGTATGAAAAGAATGTAACACATGTGTAAATAGACACCTAAAAGGGAAGTTGTGATTTGGATTTTAATGTTCTTATATCAGCGGTAGAGCATTACAGTATATTTGCCCTAAACAGAGCAGAGCCAGATATTTTGTTACAAAAGCAATGATCAGCCTCAGATTTCCCATGCTAGAATGCAAAAAAAGGGGGATCTACTGTCCTGTACAATAGACACATAAAGAGGTGAGAGGCAATCTCTCCAAACTGATGGAAATCACCTCATGCAGTTGTCACTGAAGGTTACTTGGACCACTGAATGGTAAACCCTTAAGACCTGGGACATCAGTAAGGCCACTTGGTCACTCAGAGGAGGTCACTCCTGAATTATTCAAAGCTGGGGTTCCAAAACAACACATGGTAGCTAACCAACATGGCAGAACCTTTCCACTTACCCACCAATGTCCCAACACCACCATAGTGATTGTCCCACTCTTCTCCACAAACAGGATCTTCTCATAAGAGATTATTTATCCAAAATAAAAGAATGTCCAGATCAGAGGACACTTGTTTAAATAGGTTTGCTTTTCTAAACTTGAAGCATCATATATGCGACATTTCTAACAGAGAGGTAAATTATCTTGATAATGCCTCTAATGGGAGAAACTTGGTGAATGCTTACATGTTATGTGCAATTAAACCATGGCAACATCTAATGTTTGTGTAGTATAATGTTCAGCAGTCTGTGTTCTTCTATTGTGACTTAGATGACGTTCAGAGCACATTTTATGCCCAATTCATGCAAAACTCCACGTAATCCCAAGGGGTTCACATACCTTTTCTTGCAACTGTACCTGGTACCTAATTCTCGGTTTCTTATTTGCCCAGAAAAACTTAAGTATCATCTTTATTATCCCGAAGAAAGATCCTGGTAGATGTACTGGGAGCATGTGAAACTTACAGTATATAGGATTTTTGGTACCATCACCATCTTTACCAGGTGTATACGATCTATCCAGGAAGCGCCACCTTTTGACAATCTCCCCAGCTCCTCTTTTATTTCATTTACTAATGGGATATACCGTATTTGCCGGCGTATAAGACGACTGGGCGTATAAGACGACCCCCCTACTTTTCCTGCTAAAATTTAGTGTTTGAGCTATACTCGCCGTATAAGACTACCCCTCTTCCAATGCACACCAGTGGCAGGAATAGTGCCCCATCATTGGTATCAGTGGCAGGAATAGTGCCCCATCATTGGTATCAGTGGCAGGAATAGTGCCCCATCATTGGTATCAGTGGGAGGAATAGTGCCCCATCATTGGTATCAGTGGCAGGAATAGTGCCCCATCATTGGTATCAGTGGCAGGAATAGTACCCCATCATTGGCATTAGTGGCAGGAATAGTGCCCCATCATTAATATCAGTGGGAGGAATAGTGCCCCATCATTAGTATCAGTGGGGGGAATAGTGCCCCATCATTGGTATCAGTGGCAGGAATAGTGCCCCATCATTAGTATCAGTGGGGGGAATAGTGCCCCATCATTGGTATCAGTGGGGGGAATAGTGCCCCATCATTGGTGTCAGTAGGAGGAATAGTGCCCCATCATTGGTGTCAGTGGGAGGAATGGTGTCCCAACTTTGGTGTCAGTGGGAGGAATGGTGTCCCATCATTGGTGTCAGTGGGGGGTGGAATAGTGCCCCATCATTGGTGTCAGTGGGGGGGGGGGGAATAGTGCCCCATCGTTGATGTCAGTGGGGGGGAGGAATAGTGCCCCATCGTTGGTGTCAGTGGGGGGGAGGAATAGTGCCTCATCGTTGGTGTCAGTGGGGGGGAGGAATAGTGCCCCATCGTTGGTGTCAGTGGGAGGAATAGTGCCCCATCGTTGGTGTCAGTGGGAGGAATATAGTGCCCCATCATTGGTATCAGTGGGAGGAATAGTGCTCCATCATTGGTATCAGTGACACCAATGATGGGGCACTATTCCTCCCACTGACACTTGCTGACCCTGTTCTCGTATGGTGCTGCTGCAGCCAGCATATGTGGTTGCAGCAGCACCTCTACACTGACCACTTACCTGCTGGTCCTGCACTCGATTTTCGCTGGGCCGCTCGGCTCCACCCCCTCGCCGGTGATTGGCCGCCTGTGTGCCTTTCCTGAGCTACAGTTCTGGCGGCCAATCACTGGTGAGGAGGCGGAGCCGAGCAGCCGCACGAACATCCAGTGGCCGAACTGAAGGCGCAGCCGCGCTTCCTGGACCGGATCATCGTGGGACCGGAACCAGGTAAGAAACAGCCGCTGCCCACCCCTGTACTTAGTGTCCCTTCCATTGGGGGAAGGGAAGGGGGGGGCGGCGGCGGCAACGCGCCGCCCCCCTAAAAAGTGTCAGTATGCCGTATACCGGCGTATAAGACGACCCCCGACTTTTGAGAAGATTTTCAAGGGTCAAAAAGTCGTCTTATACGCCGGCAAATACGGTAAATTTGCCTGGTACAGGGCTTTTATTGAAGGAATTAGTTTTATTCCCAAGTAGCCTATTTCCTTTTCCCTCCAAGTAAATGGAAAGTCTTTAGACTCAGCTTCTCAACTTTTGATATATTGATGTTTAAGATCTCTGACTTTGCAGGATTTATCTTCAGATTTGATAGCTCACCATACTGTTTTAATAGTCTCATTAAATTAGGCAACGTTATTCTAGGATATACAATATAGAACATGTTTGTGTATGTTGCCACCTTATGCTCCACTTTCTATCTTTATTCTTGCTATGTCTACACACTTTCTTACCCTCACCAGGACAGGTTCCAGGGATAAAACAAATAATAAAGGAGAAAGTGGGCATCCTTGTCTGGTTCCGTAACACATTTTAAAGAACTGAGAGAGGGATCCGTTGACCTTAACTGCCACTGACAGAGCGCTATAAAGCCCTTTTATCCACTTTAACAGGCCCTATTCCTAAGACCTCTAGTGTATCAATCATGAAACCCCAGTTAACCCTGTCAAAAGCCTTTTCGGCATCAATTGACAGGAATAAAGTCAGCAGTTTCTCTCTTTTTACTCTTTATAGGAGGAGCAATGATGTCAGACTATTATCTCCACCTTCTCTTCCCGAAATGAATCCTACCTGATCCAGGTGTATCCACTCCGGCATCAACACCTTCAATCTGGTTGCCAATACCTTAGCGTACAATTTGGTGTCAATGTTTAGTAAGGATATGGGCCTGTAACTGGCACACTGTGTGCTGTTTTCCCTTAAGTTTAATCGTTATATGTGCCTGCAATGACTCCTCCCTCATTTCGAGCCCCTCCCCTATTTCATTCATATAACCACACATTTTAGGGACTAGAAGATTTCTATATTTTTTATAATAACCCACAGTATATCCGTTGGAGCAAGGGCTCTTTCCTTTAGCCATATTTTTTAGGGCCAAGGTGATTTCCTCCAGGGTAATAGGTCTCTCTAGGGCCACTCATTTTTATTCTGCTATTCTTGGCAACTCCACTTCATTTAAATATTTCTGTTTGTTTTTCTTCTTTTCCTCTTCTGTTTCTGGGGCTTTAAGAGACTTCTTCTAATCTCAGCTTGTTACCTGTATGAAAGACACCTGGTAGCTAGAAATCCTGCTGAATGATAGCGGATCAAATACTTATTTACCTCATGAACATGCAAATCAGTGCATAATTTGTTAGACATGCATTTCTTTGATTTTTTTGTTGCTATTCTGTCTTTTCATGTTACCACACACCCACCATTTCGATTTTTTAGACTGATCATTTCTTTGTGAGCGGGCAAACATTCAAAATCAGCAGGGGATCAAATACTTATTTTCTTTCACTGTATATGTGTCTCTTGAAGAAATACTAAATCTATGGAGTTTTGGTGAATTTCTCTAAGTATCTTATGTCTTTTTGTTGAGGAGTTTAACACTTTCACATTATAAGTCATAAACTTAATCAAGCTCATTTCAACTATTATTTCCCTAACCTACCAGGATTCCCAACACAGGAAGACAGAGACATTTTAAAATATGGACTTTCTCCCTTCCCTCCCTACCAAAAATCCCCATTTTCTTCCCTCCCCCCCCCGTTTGCCCACCCACCACCCCATTTCCCAACCTCCCTTCCCTCTTCTTCTCTTTACCCTAAAACCCTTCTGGCCTACATATTGCCCTGGAATCTGTCTTGAAATATTCCCACCAGCGATT